CACCCCCCACCACCATCCCCCGACCCCGCCCCAATACCTGCGCCCCATCCTGAAGACCCCACCCCCCCCCCGGCCCCCCCCCCCCCCCCGATACCCCCCCCCCCCCCCCATCCTGATACCCTCACACCACCCCGATACCTGTTCCCCATCCCAGTACCCCATCCTAATACCCACACCCCATCCTGGTACCCCCCACCCCATCCCAGCACCCACAGCCCTACACAACCCTGGTCTTGGGGAGGCCTCTGGGCACGGTGGGGTCCCGGTGCCAGCCGTGCCCTCAACCCCCCTGCTTCCCCAAAGGCTGCGGTGGCATTTGAAGACGTGGCCCTGTATTTCTCTGCTGAGGAGTGGGCGCTGCTGGCACGGTGGCAGCGGGAGCTGTACCAGGAGGTGATGATGGATAACTACGACCTGGTGGCGTGTCTGGGTAAGGAGCAGTGCTGCGCAGCCCCCCCCAGTGCCCCCGGCCCCAGGTGTGCCCCTGCTCCCACTGCATCCCAGTTTGCTGCCACGACTGGGGGTGGCACAGCAGCTTCCTGCACATGGCAGTCCCGTGGCACTGCAGTCCCCAGCTGGCATCTCATGGGCACCTCTGTGATGGTGACACCCCCAGGGTGCATCCCCAGGGTCTCAGTGACACCTCTGAGGGCAGCTCTGGGGTCTGGGTGATGGCGATGCCCCTGTGGGTGTCTCTGGAGGGTGCTGAGGACTCTCACTTCCCCAGACTCCCTTGACATCAAACCCCTCAACGTCCACGGAACGGATCCTGGGGAGACGTCAAATGGAGGGGACAGAGGGCGACTGGACCCCGCAGGCAGCGGTGAGAGCAATGGGGCAGAGCTGGGGGCAACAGGATGGGGACTGCGGGGGGGCTGTTGGGCACATAGAGGATGTGAGCCATGAGCTGTGCCATGAGCCGTGTCATGAGCCATGAGCTGTGCCATGAGCTGTGCCATGAGCTGTGCCGTGAGCTGTGCCATGAGCTGTGCCGTGAGCTGTGCCATGAGCTGTGCCATGAGCCATGAGCTGTGCCATGAGCCGTGCCATGAGCTGTGCCGTGAGCTGTGCCATGAGCTGTGCCACATCTGTGTGCAAGAGGGGATTCTACAGGAGCCCCCCTGCTGTGTGCCCACCCGTGGCATCCCATGGAGATGTGGCCCTGACCCAGCACCTCCACTCCCTGCAGCCCCCTGGGACAAAGACGCACTGGGTGACGCCATCCAGGGACGCCGTGTGCCGCCGGAGCCAGGATGCCCCCCCCTGCACCCTGAATGGGGGGAGCGGGAGCCGGCAGGGGCCGTAGGGCCTCAAATCTGCAGGGTCTGCGGGCAGAGCTTCGAGGACGAGGCGGCGCCGAGCACGCACCGCTCAGAGCACGGGGACCCGACGCCCGGCCACGAGTGCGTGGCGTGCGGCAAAGTGTTCCGGCACCGCCGCAACCTCCTGGTACACAAGAAGCAGCGGGGCCAGCGGCGGCACTCCTGCGGCGAATGCGGCCGCAGCTTCTGCCTGAAGGGCGACCTGCTGCGGCACCGGCACCGGCGCGACCCGCAGGAGCGCGGCGAATGGCGACCGGCGCGGCGGCAGTGCCCGGAGTGCGGGCGGCACCGCGAGGACGAGCTCAGCCCGAGCCGGCACCGCGCGCGGCACGGCGAGGAGCGGCCCTTCGCCTGCGGGCGCTGCGAGCGCCGCTTCTCCTGGAAGGAGAGCCTGCAGCTGCACCTGCGCAGCCACGCGCCCGAGCGCCGCCACAAATGCCAGCAGTGCGGCCGGGCGTTCAGCCGGGGCAGCAACCTGCTGCTGCACCAACGCGTGCACACCGGGGAGCGGCCCTACGCCTGCGCGCAGTGCGACAAAACCTTCAGCAGCAAAGCGAGCCTCACCACGCACCGCCGCCTGCACCGCCGCCGCGGGACCTTCGTCTGCGCGCTGTGCCGCCTCGGCTTCGGCTCCAAGAGCAAACTGAGGCTGCATCTGCGCGGCCACGGCGACGGCGGCGGCCTCGGGGTGGGGAGTGGGCAGCCCTGACCCCGAAGGGCCTTGTGGGATGCCCCAAAGGACCCCGCGAGACCCACGGAAGGACCGTACGAGGTGCCCCAAAGGACTCCATAGGATCCCCCCAAAAGGACGCTGTGGAATCCCCCATAGAATCTCATGGGATCCCCCGAAGAACCCTATTAGTTCCTCCAAGGGACCCAATGAGACTCCTTGAAGGACCCTATGGGATTCCCCTAAGGACTCCATAGGACGTTTGGAGTTGTCCTGAAGGGCCCTGTTGGATCCTCCAAACGGCACTGGGATCCCCCAAAGAATCTCATGGGATCCCCCAAAGGACATTTGGAGTTCTCCTGAAGGACCCCAGTGGATCTTCCAGAGGACCCAATGAGACTTCTTGAATGACCTTCTGGGATCCCCCAAAGGACCCCAGGAGACCCCCTGAAGGAGCTCTGTGGGATCCCCCAAAGCACACTTGGAGTTCTCCAGGAGGGCCCCGATTTGGATCCTCTAAAGGACATTGTGGGATCCCGCAAAGAATCCTATGGGATCCCCTGAAGAACACCGTGGGGCCACCCTAAGGACACAGTGGGATCCCAGAGGACCCTCTGCAGCAGTGCCCACCCCACCTGCCCCCACGGCCCTTTTTCTGCTCCAACCCCACAGCCTTGGGGCACCCCTGGCGCGTGGTGCTGTGTGCCATGGGGCGAAGGCAGATGTTGGTGGGCTCCTGCCCCACACCTGTGCCCTCGGCCCACCCCATCCGCTCACCCCCCCAGTATGGGGGTCTGCTGAAGCCTCTTCGTTTTTGGGGCCGTTCTGTGGCTCAGGACGACCCTTTCGGAGACGTGCAAAGCCTGGTGCGGCGCCCATGGGGTCTCCAGCTTGGAGAACCCTACAAAGACAGAGATGGGGTCCCCTCCTCGTGCCCTGTGCCCCTCTTTGCCCCGCGCCCCCCCGCTATCTCCTGTCCTCTCCGTGCCCTGCGGTGTCCCCGCATCCCGCACCGGGCGCTGCGGGCGGGGCGCTGCGGGCGGACTACAGCTCCCGGCACGCACCGGGCAGCCTTTGTCTGCGCTCCCGCACCTCCCGAACCCCGCGGCCGTCGGCGGTGCCCCGCGGCAGCCCCCCGAGCGGCGCCGGTGAGAGCTGGGGGGGGG